GTCTTCCAAAGCAACTACTCTATTCCGAACTTAAAAATGGAAAGCGTAATGTTGGTGGTCAACAAAAGAGGGTTAAAGACTCTCTCAATGCAAATCTAAAAAAATGTAGTATAAACACCTACAACTGGGAAACACTGGCCTGCGAGCGCTCCAATTGGAGAACGGCCTTTACCAAAGGTGTCATGGGCTTTGAAGATGCTGGAACTCAGGACGCAAGGGAGAAACGTGCTAAGAGGAAGGCACGCTTGGCAAACCCTCACTGTGATCAACTCCCGTCCGGAAACCTATGTCCCCACTGTGGAAGGACGTGTGGATCCAAAACTGGCCTCCACAGTCACTTGCGGACTCACTGTTAAAACTGTGTTTATGGAAGACAATCTTACTTGGCTAGAGTATTCCTGTCAAGATTCAACAGGCACTTTCCAGAAACAGCTGAAGACACTTTTGATCCGACAGATAGATAAAGGGGCCTTTTACACTATGCTTCACTGGGATTTTAATCGTGTTGTGTTTTTTTAACAGTTTTTAATTATGTTATGTGCAAATCACCTTGGGACAGTGGTTTAGAAGGTGATTAACAAATTGTAAAACTACCAAGGCAGGGGCTAGCCCTTGGGCGAGCAGATTCTGTTTCACTTCTCTCCTCCGACCCTCTCGCCTGCTTTTCCTGAGAAGGATGTGGATGATGTATAAACAGCCAAACATGTGTCAGACCTGTTAGCAAAGCAAGTCAAAACAATAACAGGCAGGCAGGCTTTCCATCTAAACTATTTGCTTTAGCCTCCACATTCCAAGGGGTAAGTTTAGCGTCTGTTTGCTGAGAAATAAACGCTGTTTAAACACAGATGCAATCAAGAGAAAGGATATGGGACAAGAATCCTGGCTTTTTTCCAGGAAGGCTGCATTGCAAAGGTCCAGAATCAGATGGGCTCTTAAGAACAGAGCAAAACTTATTGAATCCATCTGCGGATTTAAACAGTGAGAGATGTCTGACTGCAGAACCTCCCTCGGGAGGTGATGAACTCTCCTTCCTCGGAGGTTTTTAAGCAGAGGTTGGGTGGCCATCTGTCCTGGATGCTTTAGCTGAGATTCCTGCATTGCAGGGGGTTGGACTAGATGACATTTGGGGGTCCCTTCTGAAATAAAAACTTGAAGGTCTTATATATATATAATAAATGTTCATAAATGTACCAACCAAGCACGTACATAGATCAGCACAGGAAGACAGTCCTGAAACCATTTTGACTCCCAAACTGACCAAATGTTTTCTCTGCAAGGAGGGAGGGGGTGAAGGAACCTTCCTATTGTCTCAGGAATTGGGAAATCACCATCTCAAAGGAATGGCCAGACTACCAGGAAAGGCAATCAGATAAGGCTGGCAGACAGGAAAAACAACACCATTCAAACTTCTGTTGTAGACCGCCTTTTCTGTGATGTAGGTATGATGTTTGTGGGGGGTGGTCTTGGGTTACACCCCTTCTGTGATGTGTGTATGATGTATGGAGGGGTGGTCTTGAGCTCCAGGGAAGGCAATTTAAAGTGTCTCTATAAGGGCGGACACACCTGGGTTCTGGGTTCCTCCTCTGTCCTCCTGTGTGTGAAGGGGGCACCCTGTTGCAACAGATCAATAAAGATCAGGCTTACGAGCTGCTTTGCTTCTCAATATTCTCTGGCTGGCCTCTGTTCTTTTCTCCGGCCGATGGAGAACCTACAAAGGACTCTATAAGGGCTCCTGCGTTCCCCATAAGAGAATAAGGGCAGATTTTTGTTTATTACACTTCCAACTCAACATTTCTACGATTCTTTGACCTCTTGGTGCTGAAGACAGAGAGGAGAGGGCTGGGGAGAAGCAGCGCTGCAGCTCAACCGCTCAGCTGTCTCCTTTCTCATTTCCCACCAGTTCCTTCGTCAGAGTCAGCCACATGGAAGGAAGTGGGACACGGGCACATTATGCCACAGTGGCTCAGACAGTCATGCATAACCTCTGAGTTCATTCATCATGTGCGTTTGGGGTTTCAACAGGGATGGCGTCATCCGGTGGTCGAAGTTTGGTTGTGAGCGATTCCTTTGTCTGGCCCTGGTTTTGCAGGAGTGGAGGGTGATATAGTGGACCCCCGACAGGCCTGTGGAAAACTTCTTAGTTTTCTTAACTCCCAAGAGAAGGCAGTTCCTTTCCTTTGCTTCTTAATCCTTTTGCTCCTGCAATGGATTTACTTGGAAGAGAAGGGGCTGAATTTTGTTATTTATTATTTGGAATTCCATCCTGCTTTTTGTGGGCGGCAACTGCCAATTTGAATTAATTTTGAAGCTTCGGGAGACAAACGGTGAACTTTTTAGCTTTGGGGGAATGCATGCAGCCCTAATGTGAATCTAGGGCAAAACAGGGGGAGGTGAACTTGCTGAAATGGGAGGGGCAAGCTGTGCTGCGCAGCCCCCACTCAGGCACTCCCTATTGCAGCTGATCTCACCAGGGCTTGCTGTGACCGCCGATCAGCTGATAGGACCATCAGCTAGAAGGGGCCATGAGGGTCATCTAGTCCAACCCCCTGAAATGCAAGAATATTTTGCCCAGAATGTGGCTTGAACCCATGACCCGGAGATTAAGGGCCTCATGCTCTACCGACTGAGCCATCCAGGGGATTGTAGAGGTTCAGAAAAGGGCAACCAAAATTATCGATATTCCACACTAGGGATCATTAGGGAAAAGAGCTGAAAAGAAAAATGCTGGTATTGTGACACCATGATGTAAATCTCAGGTGCAACTGCATCTGGAATACCGTGTAGGGTTCTGGTCACGTCAACCCAAAAAGGAGACGGAAGAGTTGGAGAAAGCTCAGGAAAAGGCAATGCAGATGATCGAGGGGGTGGATCAACAACCTTACAAAAAAAGGCACAGCATTTGGGAGTTTTTGGTTTAGGGAAAGGGCAAGTTAGAGGGGATAAGATACAAGTTTATAAAAATTATGCATGGCATGGAGAAAGTGGATAGATAAAAGTTTTGCTCCCTCTCTCAGAATATTAGAGGATATCCAGAGAAGCTGAACATTGGAAGTTTCAGGACAGACAAAAATAATTTATCCACATAGCCCATAGTTAAATTGTGAGGTCCCCTACTGCAAAATGTGATAATGGCCACTAACTTGGATGGCTTTTAAAGAAGATTGCAGAAATCCATGAAGGTAAAAGCTATCAGCAGTGACTAGCCATGACATCTCTGTATTATCACTTTTGCTTTTAGGTGAAAAAACTTGTTCAGATCTCACCTCTGTCCTGAATTCCCAAGCCACCCTGTGGGCTTCAGCCAGCACTAATGCCACCCCTACCTCGCAGGGTTGTTGTACGAATTGTCAGGACAAAATTAATGAGCATGTTTTTAAAACCTCCTTTCATCCGGATTGACTCCAGGGCAGGATACAGGCTTGTTTGTTTGTTTGTTTGTCTGTTTTTAAGCACACAAGACGAAACTGAGGGGGAAGGAGCAGGCAAGTACACTTTAAAAGTGCAAAAGAACTTTTTAAAAGGCTGAGCAAACAAAAAGGTGTGGGGTTTTTTTACTTGGCGCCTAAAAGAAAGCTGTGATGCTGCCAGGTGAGCCTCAGGGGACCGCATCCCATAACAGAGGAAGAAAGCTTCTCTCACTAAGTGCCACCCACTTCGCTTGAAAAGGGAAGGCACAAACAGAGGTGGACATTGGAACATGATTTCAGAGCAAAGGCAGATTGATAAGGAAGCTTATTGGATGTTTACAGGTTAATGAATGTGAAACTCTATTGCCCAAAGCAGCCTCCTGCAAACTGCTGCCCTCCATAAGTTGTTGGGCTCCAACTCCCATCAGCCCCAGCCAGCATGGCAAATGGCCAGGGGGTGATGGGAGTTGTGGTCCCCAACATCAGCAATTACTACTACTTAGAGAGAGATATCCCTGCATCATATTTTCTGATCAGAGCACTTTGACATTTCATCTTACGTAGGAACAACTTTGGACCACAAACCCCAGCTGATCCTGCCTTTTGGAGACATGAAGAAGTTGCCTCCAACTGACACCACCTATATTATTATTATTTATTATTATTATTATTATTATTATTATTATTATTATTATTATTATTATTTGCTTTAAATATCCTGCCTTTGCATGGTTCTCCCTGCCTCCTCATTTAATCCTCACAACAACCCCGTGAAGTAGACCAGGTTGAGAGTGGGTGCCTGTTCCGATATAGCTCAGTTGGTTAGAGCGTGGTGTTGGTAATGCTAAGGTTGCAGGTTTGATCCCTGTATAGGACAGCTGAGTATTCCTGCATTGCAGTGGGTTAGACTAGATGTTCCTCAGGGTCCCTTCCAACTCTATGATTCTGTGATTTATGGCCAAGGGAACCCTGGTCATTCCCAGGCATTTGTCCAACACTCTAACCACTGCACCACGCTGGCTTAAGTCTCTGGTAGACTGCATCTGTCCATGGAGGTAAAGGTAAAGGGACCCCTGACCATTAGGTCCAGTCGTGGCCGACTCTGGGGTTGCGGCCCTTATCTTGCTTTATTGGCCGAGGGAGCCGGCGTACAGCTTCCGGGTCATGTGGCCAGCATAACTAAGCCGCTTCTGGCGAACCAGAGCAGCGCACGGAAATGCCGTTTACCTTCCCGCCGGAGTGGTACCTATTTATCTGCTTGCACTTTGACGTGCTTTCGAACTGCTAGGTTGGCAGGAGCAGGGACCAAACAACGGGAGCTCACCCCGTCGCAGGGATTCGAACCGCCAACCTTCTGATTGGCAAGTCCTAGGCTCTGTGGTTTAACCCACAGCGCCACCCGCGTCCCACTTAGCTATTCCAGCAGACCCCCCTCTGAAAGCTCTACCTGCCAGAAACTTGCCATCCTGCCCTCATCGCCCCCAGCACTTTGCAAGGGTTCTTTGCACGCACACACCAAGTCCTTAATTTCAAGGGGGTGAGACCCTAAGACAACCCCTTCCCCAGCTCTCTCTCTCTCTCTGTAGAACTCACATGAGATCCGGCCTGTGGCGATGAAGGATGGCACAGAAGGCCAAGCCGTCCCGGAAAGAAGTGGTCATGTTGGTGATGCTGACATCCCTGTATCCTTGGCACTGTTGCTTGCACCACTGCTGGAGGGCTTGGATAGCTGCCATCTTGGAGGGGGGCGATGAAAATACGAGGAAGCGATGGAGAAGGAGGAGAGAGCGGGTCAGAGCCCCTCGCCTTGGCTTCTGCGCTGCTCAGCGCAGGGTTGGAGACGCCGGCGGTCTTCCGAAGCGCGCCGCCGTCTAAAGCTCTCCCCGCCCCTATCCAGCCCCCCAAGTCGCCCGCGCCCTCCTTTTTCCATAGCAGGAGGCGAGGCGAGGAAAGCTGCAGGCAAAACTGTCTGAAATCCCAGGCACACGTGTCTAGCAGCGGGGCAACGTCTGGTGGCCAGCCACGTCGCGCGTTCCAAAATGTGCCAAATTGTTGTGGGGCGCGGGGCGGGCACTCTGTGCGAGAGACCCTCCCCAAATCCGGCGCCCGGGAAGAGCAGCGCCGGCGCAAATCCAGCCCCGCTCCCGATCGGTGGAACGGAAAGCGGCCGCGGCGCTTCCGACGTGCGCCAAGACGCGCGACCTCTCCAAAAAGTACCCCAGAGGCGCCCGTAGGAGCGGGCGGGCGGCCGGGCGGAGGGAGCCCCGTAAGGAGCGATCGCGTCGGGGAGGCTCCGCCGGGAAAGCCGGAGAAACTCCAGCCTCCGGATCTGTGGGAAAGAGGAGGCGGGGAGGGAAAGGAAAACTTCTGCGGCGGGGGGAGCCGGGGAGCCAATAGCCGAGCCTGGAGCGCAGGAGGGCGGGGAGCGGGACGAGACGAGCCGAACTCCGCCTCCCGGACCTCCCCGCTCTGCCCTTCCTCGCTGCTGTCGGGCCTCCAGCGGCGATCTTCTGCGTGCTTACTCTCCGGTGCGGTCGGGAGTGGTCCAGTGGGGTGTCCTGGCCTGATCCTATGCATGCTTACTCTGGAGTAAGGCGCGCTTGGCGCAGTTGAGAGGATCGGGTCCTTGCAAAGGATTCCCAATGGTGGGGCGAGCGGTCGGATCCTGATTGCACTTTCTCAGCAGAAAGCTCCTAGAGTCCTATAGGATGTCCAGCCCGATCCCGTTGTCCAACAGGAAGGCGATCTAGATCATTTATGGTTTTTAAAACACAGGACTCGGCTTGGGGGAGCTGTCCATTTATTCCTACTTTTGGCTTCCTGCTTCTTAAAGGTAAAGGGACCCCTGACCATTAGGTCCAGTCGTGACCGACTCTGGAGTTGCGGCGCTCATCTCGCTCTATATGCCGAGGGAGCCGGCATACAGCTTCCGGGTCCTGTGGCCAGCATGATTAAGCCGCTTCTGGCGAACCAGAACAGCGCACGGAAACACCGTTTACCTTCCCACTGGAGTGGTACCTATTTATATACTTGCACTTTGACATGTTTTCGAATTGCTAGGTTGGCAGGAGCAGGGACTGAGCAACAGGAGCTCATCCCGTCGTGGGATTCGAACCGCCGACAACCTTCTGATCGGCAAGCCCACAACAGCAATGGTTTCCAACCCATTTCCCCAGAACAGACACTAAGCTAACCAGCCTGTGATTTTCCCCTAGAAATTCCCCGCTGGATCCCTTTAAAAAAAACAAAGCTTTTTCATTGGCCACTTACCTGTCCTCAAGTTTGGAAACTGATCTTGGGGACAAATTACATATTTTTGTAAGGAGATCAGCAGTTTTTGCATCGTGAGTTCTTTCTAAGGATTCTCTAAGACATGGATAGGTAAACTAAGGCCCAGGAGCTGGATCCAGCCCAATCGCCTTCTAAATCCGGCCCGCAGATGGCCCAGGAATCAGCGTGTTTTTACATGAGTAGAATGTGTGCTTTTATTTAAAATGCATCTCTGGGTAATTTGTGGGGCATAGGAATTCGTTCATTTATTTCCCCAAAATATAGTCCGGCCCCCACAAGGTCTGAGGGACAGTGGACTGGCCCCCTGTTGAAAAAGTTTGCTGACCCCTGCTCTAAGAGGATGCCTCCCGGACCCAGCAATCTGCCGGGTTTTAATTTGCCAAGGAGGCCCCAAACTCCCCTCAAAGGTCTGCCAAAACAAATAAGGGTTTCCTGAGGGTGGCCGAACCCAAACAGAAAGGGTGTATGTGTGTGCCAGGGCAGGTAGCGGGGAAGGAGGTGCAAGGCCCACCTTCCCCACCTGCACTGAGACCACTTCCAGCCTTCTTGCTTACAACACAAAAGGAGTTGGGAAGATCGGAGAACAGGAAGCTTCTACTGAGGCAAACCCACTGGTCCATCTAGCTGAGAACTGCCTACTCCAACTGGCAGCAGTGCTGCAAGGTTTCAGGCACAACCCTACTTTGGGATCTTCTGTCTACAAATCGGATGTTCTGTCACTGAGCCATAGCCCTTTGCCTTATAAACAGGTGACAGTCGCTACCATACTCCTTGCAGTTGTGTACACCCCCCCACACACACCCCACATTACCCCCAAATAGGGATTCGCTGATCAGTGTTATGGGCAACGGGCATGGCTGATTTGCTTGTTAAGTAAAGGTAAAGGGACCCCTGACCATTAGGTCCAGCCATGGCTGACTCTGGGGTTGCGGCGCTCATCTCACTTTATTGGCCGAGGGAGCCGGTGTACAGCTTCCGGGTCATGTGGCCAGCATGACGAAGCCGCTTCTGGCGAACCAGAACAGCGCTCGGAAACACCGTTTACCTTCCCGCCAGAGTGGTACCTATTGATCTAGTTACAGTATTGATCTACTTGCACTTTGACGTGCTTTCGAACTGCTAGGTTGGCAGGAGCAGGGACCGAGCAACGGGAGCTCACCCCGTCACAGGGATTCAAACCGCCGACCTTCTGATCGGCAAGTCCTAGGCTCTGTGGTTTAACCCACAGTGCCACCCGCGTCCCTGATTTGCTTGTTAACAATGGCTAAATGAACTACGTACATACCTTTAAAAAGCTCTTCTTTTTCTCTCTTTTTGTCTTTCCTTTCTTGGTCTTTCTCTTTTTGATATGTTAAGAAAAAGTTAAAGTGATAAAAGTGTATTATGAAAACCTCAGTAAGTTCAAAGTGATGCTATGTAATTTCTTTAGTAGTATTTATAAAAATATTTAAAACTGGTTAATTGTAATGACTTGATGTAGCAACCACCGTGGTTGTTTCCCCCCCTCTTTGTTATTGTCGAATTCTAAATAAAGTTTTATTCTGCTAAAAAATAAAAAGCTGTTTTTATTGAAAAATTCCTCCCACTTCACAGACGACAACCAGCAGAAACAGCCGCCTAATCCCATTGCAGCCAAGCAAACATGTGCTTAAATGTCAGCGGAGATTTTTTCAAATCTCATGTCAGCCCCGTGGAAAGATGAAGACTTTAGAAGGCGACGTACGCCTCTCCGAAATGATCTATGGATTATGGTGAAACACGGAATGGTGGAAGAGTCTTTGGTAACATGTGAAATGAGTCGGGGGCCATGATTCCGCGCAGGAACCTGACTAGGGGAGGGCAGGGCCAGCATGCATTTGTTGGGTTAATCCTCTGTCAGAACCAGTTCAGTAAAGCACATCTCTCTCCCAGCCTTCTGAGATGCTAGCCAGATCACATTTGCAGCTAGAAAGCCAGTGGGGGCTGTTGTTCCATCAGATTTCTACCTCCTTATCTTTGCACTTTCTCAGTGTTCTTCAACCTTGGGTTCCTGGATGTTGCTGGACTACAACTCCCATCAGCGCTGGCCAAGCTGTCTGAGGCTAATGGGAATCATAGAACTGTAGTGTTAAAGAGTCCGCAAGAGTCATCTCTTCCCACCCCCTGAAGCGCAGGAATCTCAACCAAAGCATCCGTGACAGGGGACTATCCAACCTCTGCTTAAAACCCCCAGGGACGGAGAATCTGCCATCTCCCGAGGAAGACTGTTCCACTGTTGAACAGCTCTTACTGTCAGAAAGTTCTTCTTGATGTTTAGTCAGAATCTCCTTTCTGAAGGAGTGTCTCCACCCCCATCGTTCAGCCCGGACACTGAGGTCCAGCTCCGAGGGCCTTCTGGCGGGTCCCTCCCTGCGAGATGTGAAGTTACAGGGAACCAGGCAGAGGGCCTTCTCGGTGGTGGCGCCTGCCCTGTGGAATGCCCTCCCATCAGATGTCAAGGAAATAAACAACCATCTGACTTTTAGAAGACAACTGAAGGCAGCCCTGTTTAGGGAAGTTTTTAATGTTTGATCTTTTATTGTATTTTTAATGTTTTGTTGGAAGTTGTAACTTGAATCCATTATTTTGAGTCTTGCCCTCTCTGGAGAAGGAGAAAAGCTTGCTCTTCCTTCCATATGTCAGCTATTGAAGTACTTGAAGATGGCTGTCATATCTCCTCTCAGTCACCTCTTTTCCAGGCTAAACATACCCAGCAACCGTTCCTTATCAGGCTTGCTTTCCAGACCCTTGAGCATCTTGGTTGCCCTCCTCTGCACCCGTTCCAGCTTGTCAACATCCTTCTTAAATTGTGGTACCTAGAATTGGACACAGTATTTCAGGTGTGGGCTGACTAAGGCAGAATAGAGTGGTACTCTTATTTCCCTTGACCTGGACCCTATACTTCTCTTGATGCAGCCTAGAATAGCACTAGCTTTTTTTGCTGCTACACACACTGTTGACTCGTGTTAAGCTTGTGGTCTACTAAGACCCCTGTGTCCTTTTCACATGTACTGCTAGTAGGCCAGGTATCCCTCATCTGTTTCTTCCTGCCTAAGTGCAGAACCTTACATTTGTCCCGATTGCAATTCATTTTGTTAGTTTTAGCCCAGTTCTCCAATCTGTTAAGGTTATCTTGAATCCCGGTTCTCTCTTCTGCAGCATTGGCTACCCGTCCCAGTTTGGTGTCATCTGCAAACTGGATGAGCACCCCCTCAATACCTTCATCCAAGTCATTTGTAAAGATGTTGAACAACAATGGGCTCAGTCAGCCAGCTGCAAATCCACCTAACAGATACCTCATCCAGTTGTAATGCAGTAACATCTCAGGTCCTGAGGTTGAAGAAGACTGTAATAAATCTAACTCACTTCTTTGGGCTGGTTCACACAAGCTCATTCCTTGCTGGCTAATGGAGAGGATCATGTATGGATGAGAAATCATAGCTTAATCACTTCAGACAGACAATTTTGAAGACATTGTGTTCTAACAGAGAGGCAGTTCATATATTCAGGTGAGCATTAAGGTAAAGGTAAAGGGACCCCTGACCATTAGGTCCAGTCGTGGCCGACTCTGGGGTTGCGGCGCTCATCTCGCTTTATTGGCCGAGGGAGCCGGCGTACAGCTTCCGGGTCATGTGGCCAGCATGACTAAGCCGTTTCTGGCGAACCAGAGCAGCACACGGAAACGCTCTTTACCTTCCCGCCTGAGTGGTACCTATTCATCTACTTGCACTTTGAGGTGCTTTCGAACTGCTAGGTTGGCAGGAGCAACGGGAGCTCACCCCGTCGTGGGGATTCAAACTGCCAACCTTCTGATCGGCAAGTCCTAGGCTCTGTGGTTTAACCCACAGCACCACCCGTGTCCACAGGTGAGCATTAGCAAGTGCCAAATAATTACAGTGAGAAGTGAAAAGTGATGGGCATGCCTATCAAATTCACCTCTGTTTTTCATTTTTTCCCCCTCTAAAGGTCAGCTTGCCCTGTTTCCATGATTTTGCCATTTGCTAGTTAGACCTCTCCAAGTCTAACATTAAATTGTTATGGGGTTTTTTTGGGGGGGGTCAGTCTGGATGATACCCCGGGTCCCTTCCAAGCTTGTGACCTCGTGTTCAGTGAGACTCAGAATCTAGTAGAAGAAGCAGCTGCTGAACTGGTTAAACTTGTTCCTTTGTTAAGGGAATGGCACTGGCTGCCCAGTTAAGTACTGCCATTTACATGTTTAAAGTGGTTGCCATAGGGACAGAGGAGCGAGCCTTTTCCCACCCCACTGGACAAACAGTAGGCCA